TCCCAGGGTGTGCTTTGAGAATCTGACTTTAAAGGGCTCTGGCCTACTAGCCCTGCCTCTACCCTAAACACAGTAGCCATAGGACCAGATTTCACTGTTACTAAAATCCCACCAGTTGTTCTACCTACACTGAACTTCAGTTCCCCCCAGGATACCTAAGGCCGAGGAAAAATCTGGCAAACGCCTCTATCCCCAGTGCCTGTCAGGAGCTCAGCTATTATATACGGACAAATGGAAGAGTATACTGGAGTGTGTGAATGTATACTGTGAATGGAGTATACTGTGAATGTAGCTGTGCATGGGGGGTGGGGAAAGAGGCCTGTGCCACAACATGCCACACACAGGAAAGAGGACAGAGTCACAGGCTAAGATGTAACAACTGAAAACAATCTGAAAGGTCTAGCACAGTCAATTACTAGATGGAAGCTAAGTACATCAGTGGGGCTTCTCTTTGCTCCACAGGAAAGAGGTGTTTCTATCCTTCCCAGCACTGCATTTTGCTTTTTATTTGTAGATTTGCTTAGTGTTTGCCTGTGGTGTGATAAGCCAGCAGCCATCACAGGCCATGCCACACAGAGGCCTTGGAGGTGCATGCTAAATGAATGGACAACTGACGAGGGAACGAATGAAGTGATGGACCATGAGGCCCAAGGATGACAAGAGGAAGGTGGACAGGTAGGGAGACAGTACGTGGGCACTGGCTGGGGCCAAAATGAGGTTTAGGGACAGACGTGTAAGGGCTAGGGAGGGAGCAAGAGGCCTGGGAGATAAGGTCAGAGAGATGGAGCCATTGACTAAAGATCTCCAGGGAGAGCAGTTCTAGCTCCAAGCTAGGGCTATGGCAGCAAGTGATCAAGGTGGCTGAAAGTGAAGGCTGTTGGAGATGAAACCAAGAACTAAGACCACAGTAACAAGGTGAGGGTGAAGACGGCAGGGTGTTGGCACACAGACACAGTAATCCCTGGGAAACGAAAAGCCCGTGGGGAAATAGAGGTGGCAGGCCTCCTGTACCTGGGTGATCATCCGGGACCACTGATTGGCAGGGGACAGCACTACAGTGGGCTGGGGAGGGGGGCCAAGTGGTGGGCAGGAGCCAGCGTGTACACAAGGGAGTCACATCTGGAAGCAGCACAGGGGAAGAAGAACCCCTATTTCTGGACCCTGAGGGATGAGGACCCACGGCACAAGGCCCCTGTGGAGAGCCTAGTTTCACCCGGGCAGAGAGGCACCAACTTGCAAGAGACTGAAGGTAGAGGGTGAGGTGCTGGGAGCCAGAGGAAGGCCAGTGGGGGAGGGGGAAAGACGGACACCTGGAGGAGAGGTGCATCAAGGATTGTGGCCAAGGAGACAGGAAGGAGTAGGAGGTTGCAGGTGGGGGCTGGACCTGATGATGTCCACAGACCCACCAAAGGCTGGAAGGCAGGCTGTAGGAATACAGAGAAGTGCAAACTCCAAACTTGCACACGTGATTGCTAATTTTTGCATATAAACAGCAAAACCAACCAAGCAAAAAAACTCTCTTTAACTTCAAATAGAAAAAAGACTAGGGCTTGGCGCCTGTGGCTCAAGTGGCTAAGGCGCTGGCCACGTACACCCAAGGTGGCGAGTTCGAATCCAGCCTGGCCGGTCAAACAACAATGATGGCTGCAATGAAAAAATAGCTTGGCATTGTGGCGGGCACCTGTGGTCCCAGCTACTTGGGAGGCTGAGGCAGGAGACTCACTTGAGCCCAGGAGTTGGAGATTGCTGTGAGCTGAGATGCCACGGCACTCTACCCAGGGGGACAGCTTGAGGCTCCTGTCTCAAAAAAAAAAAAAGAAAAGAAAAGAAAAGAAAAAAGACTAGAAGGAAATATAGAAAACCCTTCATGTGGACTCTGTGAATAATGACAACCTTAGGCTCTTTTTTACTTTGTACTTTTACAAATCTTCTGTCATCACTATCTTCCATGGTGCCCAACTAACACAGGGTGACTGAATTGCCAAGTAACTGAAGAGCGTGAATTCCCCACATAACAAGGGCAGAGACAGAGTGGGAAACGTGCTTAAATGGAACTAAAAGACAGCCTGGCCCTGCTCCCACATGCCCTCTAGGCCCTGCCCCACCTTAGCCTTTGCTTCCCCAGACACTCAACTGGGACTCTGGCCACCCCCATGCTTTCTTGGGTCAGAGGCTTGACTCTTCCAGGGCCTGGGCCCAAGCCCAGGACCAGACACACCTGATTCAGAGCAGGCATCAGTCCTGCCTCCAGGCCCAGAGCTGTACCAGGTCTCAGGGAGGTGAGGTTGCAGGGACCCTGGGTCTACCTGAGACCAGGCCAGGTCTAGCTGAAGGCAATGCTCAGCCAAACTGTCACATCCTGATTTCAGGTGCATAAACCTGGTCTCCTGAAGTCCATGGCCTGGCCCTCAGGGAGCACACAGTCAAGTCAGGAGGCCATAATGCCCTCACTAGGGATCCCCTCGGATAGGGAGGTCCACTGCCAAGAAGTGTCTGGCAGGACAGAGAGCTAGGTGGGAGCCCAAGGACGGACAGGGGAGGAATTACCGAGTGCAGAGGGCCACTAAAGGCCAAGGGCTTGCCCTCCTCAGGCTCCTTTAATCTTCCCACAATGCTGGGAGCTGGGAAGGTCAAGTTTACACTGAGGACGAGAGAAACAATGGGACCTGCCCTAAGTCAACACACAAGTAGCAAGGGACTCAGCAAAAACCAAACCCAGGTCTGGGTGGCTTCAAATCTTATATGCACAAACCCCAGGTGGCCTCAAGGACCAGGGGATAAAGGTGGCTTCCTGGAGGAGCATATGTTTAAGGTGTGGTGACCCTGATTCTGATGTGTCCCCAGAGTGGGGGTGAGGGGACAGGGCAGAGGTGCTGAACAGCCCCAACTGCCCTTCTATACAGAAAACAGGGTGAGGCAGGGAGGCCCTGAAGGGCAACAGGCCCACAAGGTGAGGGGTGACAACAAACAGGGCCTCCAGTGGGGACAGAAGAGGAGGTTAGGCACAGTAATGAGCTCCCCAGGGCCCACTCCTTCCAGGACCCAGGGGCTATCGCCACAGCAGCGCAGGAGGCAGAGTGCAATTAGCCAAGAGCACTGAGCTCCCCGGGGACCCAAGTTGCTGGAGATTGGCCCCTGCTCCTGGCAGCCTCCATGACCAGTCATGCCAGGTGCCCCGAGGCCCTACAGTGGAGACCTTTGGCCCAAAGATAAACACAGGCCTGCCTAAGGTGGCATGGCATCACAGACAGGTCTCCTGCCGTGAATCCCGGGTGGCTCTCCCACTGGCCAGCTGGGGAGCTGCATCAGGAAGTCCCTGGGGCCAGGCTGGGGGAGGGACACACAGCCAGCAGAGTCTCTCGCCTACAGATGACCAGCCAGCCCACTCCCAGGGGAGGACCCAGAGCAGTCAGGAGGTCTGGGGCACCAAGGCCAGTGTGGAGCTGCTGGTCAGCAGCTGGGCCCAACAATTTGGAGAGGGAGCCATTCCCAAAACTCTCCAGAGCCTTCTCTGTGCCAGGTCCCTGCTGGACTCAGCAGGAAGATATAAGTTGGGCCAGCTTTGCCCGTGGGGAGCTCACCTCAAGAGGGGAGATGACAGATAAACAGGCAAGTAATTACAGGAGAGGAGGGGGGTGAGGAGCACTGACCTCAGAGAGCCACATGTGGAATCATTTTGCTCATGGTCCTTCAGGCCCAGGGAGGGTCAGGGAATGGTACTGTCCTTCCAGTGTAGGGCTGGTCCCTACTTTCTGGCTCCCTGACTCCAAGCCCAGAAGAGTTCCCCTGCTTCAGACCCCACCTGCAGCTAGGCCCCTTTCAGCTCAGATGCCCCAGAAATAGGCTACTGTAGTGCCTTTGCCAAGGCCCCAAGGACCCTTATAGCAGGACCATCAGGGACTGGCCCCAGGGATGTCCACCCTGGGGTACCTTTGTGGGGTCATACCCCTGCTGTGGAGACACGAGAATAGGGCACCTACCACAATGCCAACCTCAGCCAAGGGCACAGCTCCCTCTGATGGATGAGGGATGCCTCTGAGGACGAGGAGAAAACCTCACTCTGCTCCTGTGCCCTGCTTGTACAGGAGCACCCACATGTTCTACAAGTCTTCGCAATCAACACTGGCACCACTTCGTGAGTACACTGCAGGAGGCACTTGGAGCCCAGGATCTCGTTTCACCCTCCACACCCAGAGAGACCGCCACTCTGGTCATTCTAATTTTGCAATTTTCCAGATGAGTAACTAACCTCAGGCCCCTTACAAAGACACCAAGTGGTAAGGCTGGGGCTCAAATGCCAGCCTGGGACACTCAGACACCCAGTGCTTCTAAAGCCACTGCTAGTCCCTGCCTGGGGAAAGCGGGAAGGGGTGGGATGAGGAAGAAGGAACACCTGCATCTCTATCTGTTGTCCTTGACAGAGATAAAGGGTCTAGCTCCACTGTAGGCTCCCAGCTCCCCAGAAAGGGTGCTCTGAGTACTGCTGAGCACCGCCACAGATGGACTGGAAGGACCAGAGCCCGTTCTTTCCAACTCAAGCCCTTCAGCCCTGGACCAGAACACCAGCAGCTTGGAAGCAGGAATTATGAAGCTGGGCATGCTCTGGACTGCCCCTGCTGGGCAGCTGGGAAAAGTGAGGCCCAAAGGACAGTGACTGACAGGGGTCTCCAGAGCCTCCTTAGCAGTATCTCCATAATGCTTCCACATTTCACAAATGTGTGATCTACAAAGTGGCTCCAGGGACACTGTGAGTCCCCAACAGCAGGGAGAGGATGCACCAGAATCACCTTGGGAGCTGCACAAATTCCTAGCACCTACCCTGGGGGTCCTCAGCTGGTGGGTGAAAGAAGGAGATCCTGATGCTCAACCAGTGCTGGGACCCCGGCATCAGCTTTCAGAAAGCCTCATCTGCCATATTCAGGCCGCACCTGTCTGGCAGTGAGGGCCGCAGGCTGCATGAACACCCCCACACCCCCAGCGCACTCTGTACCAGGCTTTACCTTTTGCCACAGTGACTCCCGGGAAGCGAGTGATGAGCACGCTGCCACAAACCAGCAGTTGCCCACCTGGCCCTGGTGTAGGTCGTGGGAGCTGATGCCATCCACAAAGAGGCGGGGGTCCTCACAGATGTCCTACAGGGAAAGTGAGGGGAAAACGTGAGGGGCCGAGGAGCACAAGGATTCCTGCCATGGCAGAAAGGAGACCTCACTGTCAGCCTAGAAATCCACCTGCCTCCCCTGCAGATGAGAGGGCCCCATGTGACCTGCCTGCTCCCACACAGGTTGCCGGGCATCCCTTCCCTTTCCCTGGACAGAGGGTGCTCTTCTGCCAAAGGTTTGCAGATGGACAAACACAGTGGAAGGGCCCCGGCACTGCCTTCCTCCTGACCTCACCCAGCAAGGGCTCAGTCCCTTCACTCTTCTACCCACAGTCCATGGTGCCCATCCTGGGAAGCCCCTGGCCCAGTCACTAGGAAGCGGTATGGGGGTGCAGGGAAATGACAAACACTGAAGTCGCACCAACAGATGGGCACTAAGTGAGAGGAGGGTGGGGAGCTGAAGGGCCAGTGACTTGTCAGAGGGCAGCAGCAAACAATGCCTACGTGGGGCAGCAACTCCTTGTTTTTGGTTTTCCACAGAGGCTGGCAGGCACAGCCAGAGGGGCTGCTAGGGAACCAGGATCAGGCAGCGGCCAGGCAGGGAAGTGAGTCATGGGCTCTCAGGCCCAGCCCTTCCTAATTTCCAGAAGCCCCTTCCTCTGTCCGCCAAGAGAGAGCCAGCCCAGGCAGGCCCAGGGCCAACTGCCCTCTGCACCTGATCTGCCTAAGGATCTCAGGCTAGGGCCTCTATCTCTTCATGCACTGGGTTGTTTTTTTTCCTTAACCCCCTGAGGGTGTGAGAGGGAAAAGCACAGGCCTTAGCTTCAGACCAGAGACTGAATTCCAGCTCCTCACTCTGCAGTTCCCTCTCTGAGCCTCAACTTTCTCATCTCTAAAGAGCGATTGATGATTCCTACTTTGCGAGGAGTCATTATGTGGAAAAGTGCCAAGCCCAGGGCCTGACCCAAAGAGAATGAAAGTCTATTTAAATTTCCAGGAACTAGGATGTTACGCCCAGCCCTACATGGGAGGCTTGCATACCACAAATACAACCTGGAAAGGTGGGTTCGCCCTGTGTTCCCACAGTTGTTAATGCTCCACTCAGAGGCCTGACCCTGGGCTGCTCAGTTCTCTGCAGGGGGAGCAGAGTGGGCCTCGTGCAACCCGTGCCTCTGGCCCTGGGGCAGAGCCATGCAGACACCTACCGAGCCTCCAAGTACCCTGCCTGTGCCTGACTTGGGCCCAGTGGCCAGACTGGTGCAGGGCTGGGCATGGGGGAAGGGCTCCCATCCCCTTGGAGCACATATGTACCACTTGTGTCCAGCAGGCCCCTCCTCCTTTCCCGTCAGCACCTTCACTCTGCCAAGTTGAGAGGGAGTAACTGCTCACCAAAGGGCAGGTACAGCAGAGGGTGGGAGGCAAACACACTAGGATGTGCCTTCCATGTACCAGGCATCCTACTGGTACCACAATCAATCCCTATCATGGCCCTACACCTGACACGCCTGCTCAGGCCTGGGTTCCACCCAGAGGTGGGAAAAAATACCCATTTTACAGATGTGGAAACAGAGGCCTACAGAGGTTGAGTATCATGCCCCAGCCACAGGGCACAAGCAGGAGGGCAGCTGCCCTCTGTCTGCCTGTACTTCAGCAGGAGCTCCTGGGCTAGTTTAAGTGCAGACAGCCAGCAGAGGGCGGCAGAGGCAGGAAGATGGAACCCGAATTCCTGCTCCTATTTACCTACTCACTGTATGACTTTGGGCATACATTTCCCTTCCCTGTGCAAAGATTAATAGTCATCCATGGAGGTGGGTGGGAAAACCACAGAAACAGCTTACAATGACTGGGCACCTGCCATGTGACAGGCACTTGGCAAGGAAAATGGGACAAAGTACCCAAGGGTCCTAAGGTATCTGAGACTCCTATGGCTCCCTGTGTCAGAGAATGGGCTAGAACCCCCCAGGTCAGGAGAGCCCCTTCCAGTTGATAATGCAGAGTGACCCAGAGCATAGGTCTGGGCAAGCCAGTGAGGTCGCCTGCTCTCATCCTGTCCCCAGGGGACCCCCTTCAGGAAGCACAGTCAGAGGCTGGCCCTCCTATCTTATCTCCCAGCCCTGATCACACCCAGACCAGCCTTGTGACCAGAGGGAGCTATGACTTAGCTGCTGCCTCTCTGAGGCCCAGAGAGGAGGCAGGATGGTGGGTAGGAAAGGAGCTTGGTATCTGGAGGATCCCAGCCACGCTGTGCCATGGAAAGAGAGATAAAGCCATTGCCTAGGGTCACCAGATCCTGCAGCAGGAAGTGACTCCCAGGTGTCCCTCCACTTCAGATCCTCCCAGGCAGTGCCCTGTGACAGAGACACAACTGCCCCATTCCACAGAGAAGGCTGAGCCCAGAGGGAAGCAGCGACATCTAAGGTCATGAGGCAAACAAGTGAAGGCGACAGAACCCAAGTCTGCTGGGCTCCTGTCCAGGGCTCTCCTTCCCACTGAGCTGCAGGCTGGGGCAGACACATCCAACCACCCAGCCTGGCCCTGACACCCTAGGACAGAGCTCCAGCCAGACACTTCTCCAGCACTTAAGAGACGGAGCCCAGTGGTTGAGCTCCTGTATTCCATTGCCCTGACTTGCGGCAGAGTGGAGACCTGGGGGCGGTCAGGAAAGCTAGGAGGGTGCAGGTGGAAAAGGAGGCAGCTGGGTGTGTCCCCACTGCCAGAGGAAGCTCTGGGTTACCAGCACCAACCTAAAGAAACCACCTGAGGTTAGTGGCACCTGGGTCTGCCCTGGAATCCAGATGCCACCCTGGGGCACCTCTAAAGGAACCAAGGAAACAGCTCACAGTGACTGGGCACCTGTCTGTGAGACCAGCTCCACCAGATATAGACCACAGCCCAAGCTATCTCCCTTCTCCCTTTGTGGCACAACAAGAAATTCAGGTTTCCAATCCTGCTGTACAAACCAGGAAGGCAGCAAGGCGGAGGTGGAGCCAGCCTGGGTTGCACCTGCACAGCCTCCTTCCACCCTCCCCAGCCCCTCTTCCTTGTGCAGCCACCTTCACCCATCACCTCCCTCCTGGAATCAAAGATCATAGAGGCAACTGACTAGGCAGTCAGGCACTGTGCAAAACAGCCCTGGCACTGTTTGCAGCCCCTCTTACAGATGAGGAAAGCAAGGCCCAGTCACTTGCCAGAGCCACATAGGAAGAGGAGAACTGAGCCTCAAACTCAAACTGTCTGGCGTCACAGTCTCTGGGTAGGCTAGGTTTTATGAGTGACAAGGCCACCATCTCCCCGCACCTATCCTAAGCCCAGCTTAGGAGGTTTTGCTATATAGCAATGAGACCAAAAGGTCAAGGGAAGCCCAGGCCCTCACCCCTGCCATCAAGGGACCAGCCTTCTCAAGACCAGTGTTTGTCCTACTGCCAGTGGCTAGACATGGGTCACTGAATGAGTTAGGGCAAGTCTCTGTCCACAGGCAGGATCCTTGATAAGGAACCAGAGGAACAGAACTGCGGCAGCAGGAGCCAGAGAAAGACCAGAAGAGGCTGCCTGGAGGCAGTGACTGACAGCAGGCATGGAGAGGGCTGGCAGGCAAGAGGCTCAGGAGGAAGATGGGGACTAGGGCCTAGACGGCGTCTGGCCACGCACTGAGACACTGCTGCTTCTGACATAACACCTGGCCTCCTATGTGCCCTTCCATCCCTGACCACACTGGGTTTGCCTTTGGGTCTCCCTCACCAGCCCCGGAGCTCCAAGGCAGTGCCCAGGCCTGACTCTGCCCACATCCACAGTTAGCAAAGCTTGGCAGGTTCTACTAGGACTACAGACAGGTCCTGCGGGTGGGGTGGGGACAAAGTAGCATGCAGAACCGGATTGTGTGGGGAATTGTGTGGGGGTCATCGAGAGAACTAGGTTTGACCACTCCCCTGGTCAACATGCCTTAGGGCATGGCCTTGTGTACCTGTAGTCACCTCTCCCCTCCTCAGCCCTCCCAGCCTGTGAGACCAGCTCCACCCCATGCAGACCACAGCCTAAGCCACCTCCCTTCTCCCTTTGTGGCACAAGAAATTCAGGTTTCCAGTCCCGCTGTACAAACCAGGAAGGCAGCAAGGCAGAGGTGGAGCTGGCCTGGGCTGCACCTGCACAGCCTCCTTTCACCCTCCCCTCCCAGTCCCTCTTCCTGGTCCAGACACCTTCACCCATAACCTCCGCCCTGAAATCAAAGATCACAGAAGGAACTGACTAGGCAAGTGGGAAACAGGTCTAGAAGGAAGTGGGACTTCAGCCTGGGACAGGCAAGGGCAGTGTTCTCAGGAATTACAGCCTGTGGCCCACCCCCCTGCCACTGACTGGCCTTCCCCCATCTCCTTCAGCAGCGGTCCCCGCCCTTTCAGGCCACCTCCTCGGGAAGCTTTCCCTGACCCCAATGAACTCTGTCACGGAGCATATGCCCAGAAGGGGGTCATTCCTGGGCAGGGCAGAGGCCTAGGAGGCTGGGTGTGCCCCAGCTGCCAGCCCTCACTGCGAAGTGCCTGCTTCATGGCATAAAAAGGCTTAATGCTGAGTGCAGCTTAAAGTAGAGACTCCGGGAAATGGCCTGATGGGCACAAGCCCAGGGGGTGGGGCTGGGGCCCACCAGGTTGCCTGGGGAGAAATCTGGGAGGTTCCAGAATTGATGTGTGTTCGCAGGACCCTTAATTGTTCCCTCTGTATTCTACCAGAGGGCCTCCAGGCTGACATCAGGTAAGGGCATGGCAGACTGCTGGATGTGGGAGGGGGACACTGCGCCCCCCAGGGGTAAAGGAGTACTGGGCCTGAGTGAAGAGGAATGTGGCTCTTGCCCCATACCCTTGGGATTCCCCCTGAGCTCCCTGGCTTTGAGACAGTCCCCATTCCATTGTCCTCTAGTCTCCATGACCAGGACTGTGAGGGAAGTGGCAGATGTTTACTGTACTGGAAAGAACAAAATACAATGAGCCCATGGGGACGGGGTGTCGGCCCAAGACAGGTGCCCTGGGTGAAGACTGAAAAGGACAAGGCTGAGTGTCACCTACAGAGTCTACGACACCGTGGCTCTGGGTCCCCCACAGTGTTGGCAAAGAGAAGGTGAGCAACAGAGGGGAAGCAGTCTGTCACCTGCCTTCCATGTACACATACATGACATTCCAACCTCCAGAAACCATAATCAGCCTGGGAGGCCAAGGCAGGAGAAGTGCTTGAGACCAGGAGTTAGAGACCAGCCTGAGCAACATAGTCAGACTGCATCTCTATTAAAAAATAAAAGTATTAGCTAGGCATGGTGGCACATGACTGCAGTCCCAGATACTCAGGACGCTGAAGTGGGAGGATCACTTAAGCCCAGAATTCAAGGTACAGTTAGCTATGAAGACACCACTGCACTCTAACCCTGAGCAAGATTCTGTCAGTAAAAAAAAAGGAATTACTCTTTCTAATTACAGATGAGGAAACTGAGGTCTAAATAGGAAGAACAACTTGTTCAAGGTCACGTCTCCAGTAAAGTAGGGCCAAGGCTGGAGCCAAGTGCTCTCTGACCCCAACACCAGCCTCCTTGTTCCATTTGGGAGGCAGGGAGGCTAAATGAGGAAATCGTCTCAGAACAGAGGGGTCACAACAAGGACCAACCCAGAGAGGAGGAGCTGAAGGGGTGGGAATCAGGACGGCTTCCCCAGGGCTGCAGAGAAAGCTGGCTTTGAGCTCTCTTTGTAAACAGTCAGGTCATTGGACCCAGGAAGTGAGACACCAGAGAAACATGGCTTTCGGGTCAAAGTTTCACCTGGTTGGGTATTGCAGCTGGAAGTTAATGATCACCTCACTGGGTTGGGCCTGCCCACCGCAGACCTGGGCTCAACTTCCTGCTGCACAGACCCACACATGGTTTTGTAAATCCAGGCAGAGCCATGTCCTGCCTATGATGGCCTGGTCCATGAAGCCTCTCCTCACACATCCCAGTTCAACCTGTGCCCGGCCTTGAGTTAGTCCCCTAACTAGCCCTTGGAACCCACTCAGACAGCTGTCTCCACGCCAGCCCCTGCTGTCTGTCCTGCCTCCCCGTGCAAGGCAGAAGCAGCCCTGTGGTCTGGAAAGGGAGAGCAGTGAGGGAGAGAAGGTGTGGCAGGACACAGAGAGGGCAGGCGACTCCAGCAGGTCACATAACAGGGCAATCCAAGCCAGCCAAGCTGACATTTCCTCCTGTCACCACACCAAGCCCAGCCTCTTTCTAGGGTCACAGACTTAAAATGTCAGGGTGATGGCCAGAAGGCAGGACAGGGTCAAGAAGGGGGCAGCAAGAGTAAGGCAGAGAGCGTGAGTGTCCACCCCTCCTCCCTGCTCCCGCAGCCTCATAAAGGCCCTTTGAGGTTGGCCTCCTCCCCCACCCACTGGACAAAGGAGAAGGAGGAAGGCGTGGGAGGGGGCCCATGAGGCAGAGCTCTGTGGCCAGGCCAGGAGGCTCCTTCTGGACAGCCAGTGCAGCGGTCAGAGACTCCATGGCAGCTCTTGGGATTGAGGCACCTTTATCTGGTGTCAGGAGGGTGGCATCCAATGTGGCAGGACCCCTGGGTCTAGCCTACCCCTGCTAGTAGCTCCCTGGACAATCAGGGCACGAGCTTTCCCCTATTAGCCTCAGTTTCTCTCTGGATTCCCGGTTCAAGAAAATCCACAGGATTTTTGAGTTGGGAGGAACTTAAGATCACAGACTAGGAGAGGAATCTGGGATTAGGAGGATGAAATCATACCACAAGGCCAAACATTTCTATTTGACACACTCCAGCCTCCGGGACCAAGGCCAGATCGGGCGAGCATCCAGAGAGACACTACAGAGCTCATCACCACCAGTATTCACGGCCAGGGCTCCCCGTGTGGGGCGCCAGGCTCTGTGCAGACCTCTTCACACATTAGCTCTTTTAATCCTCACAACAACCCTATGTGGAGGCACTCTTATTTTTTACTGCTATTATTATTATTGACTGATCATCATAAATACTTTATATGACAAATGACTATTTCAAAATGATTATGATAATAACCAGGGAAGTAAATTCCTTACCCCTGAATGTAACTCTATATTTTACTTAAAAAAAAAAAATCATATTCACATTACCTTATTTTTATCCCAAAAAAACAACCTGGAAGGATGGTAGGGTTCAGGGAGAGGTGAGGCCTGGCTGGGCGGTGGCAGCCAGGGGGTTATAATGACTCCTTCTCTGGGCTTCCATCCAGAGCAAACCCACAGCACTGGCCCCTCCACCCACCCTCCCGGCAACCTGGGGCCTAGGGATGACTCCTCCTGTCCTCTCACCTCACCGCCCCCAGGTCCCTGCAGACTCAGCCTCTGGGTCAGTCTGGGCTTGCTCGCCTCAGCTTCCACCAAGACCAGACACTGACCTTGGGCCGCTTCCACCTGACAGTGGGTCCCGGGGAGCCCTTGTAGTAGAGCGAGTCGTCGGTGGCAGGGAAGTGCGGGTCCTCAAAGAGCACCTTCCTGCGCAGACAGGAGCGCTTCAGGGCCGAGTAGTTCTGGTCCTCATAGGGCTTCACACACGAGAACATGGTGGCCGCTGCCCCGGGCAGGGGAGGAGGGAACACCTGGACAGGAAGGGAAGAAGACCATCACCCTCTGAGCACCTGGGGCCCTCCTGTGCACAAGTCCCATGTGCTCCCCGCCTGTGAAGCAGGTGATGCCATCCCTATCATACAGGCAAAGAAAGAAAGGCTCAGAGAGGGGCTGAGGTCTGCCCAATGTTGCACAGCTGGTATGCAGTAGAACTGGGACAGGAAATGACTAGACTTACACTGCAGCCTGGATTCTCTCCTTTCTGATGCTTAGGGGTGATACCAGGCCTGCAAGCCAACTCGGGGCTGGCCCAGGCCACACCCTCCCCCACCCCTCTTTCCCTAGACCTCCCCAGACTGAATCAGATAAGTAGCCAAGCCCAGGAGCCCCCTGGCTGGCAGCGTACCCACAGGAAAACAGCAGTGTGTCTCTGTCCTTGTCCCCTCACCTCTACAGAGCAGCACATTTTTGCCCAGTGTGGGAAAACCTTGTCCCAGGCACACTCCTCCTGCCCCTCCCTCCTTGCCCCAGACATTCATCTATTCTCTTTGGCCCTCCTTCCAGAAAGCTGCCCTCCTTACTCTACCTCTGGAACGTCTCCAGTCGGTAGGGACTGGTCCTTCACCCTCTTTTCATTTCCCAAGGGTCCAAGTGGGCCAGCCAAGCATCCAGAACCTTGTACCAATGTGCTGACCAAGTGCAAGGGACACGGACTGCACCAACATGATCAGGGAAGGCCTCAAAGGGGACGGGATGCAGGGTGGGGCACGGCAGTCACTGAGGCCTGACACATAAGTGCACTGGCAGGTGTCTGCACAGCTGGCACCAAATGACCGCCCTATCTATGCCACCCCACCTTAGACTCCGTCCAGGCTGCCGTGGAACTCCACACTCTCCAGATCTACTCATCCTGGGGCCTGTCTAAGGCAACAATAACCCATCAGGTTATAGGCCAGAATTTCCCAGCTCAGCCCTGAGGGAAACTGAGGCAAGGTAGCCTAGCTTCTGGGGTGACATTTGAAAGCAAGACTGATGTGGGTGCCATCCTGAGCTGCACCACCCATCTGCTGGGTGACCTTGAACAGGGGACTCAACCTCTCTGAGCCAGCATTTTCACACCTCTGTGATACAGACAATGCAGCTTCAACACCTGGAAGACACCATTATAACGAACCAAAGGCTGAGGAGACTGGAAAGCAGGCCAGAGGGAAGAGGAGAGAGGAGATGGGCCAGGACACCTCTCCTCGCCAAAGAGACTCCATTCCCCTACCATGTGCAAACAACTGGGCAGGAGGTTTGTGTATATTATATAAATAGTGTCGGGTGGGCAGACTCCTGCCATTCTTTAGGAGAGAGAACCGTGGCTCACTGAGGTGAGGTGACCTGCCCAAATTTCCAAGGAAATCTGGAGTTGGGCCCAGGTCCTCTGATTCTGGCGCCTCCACCACCTTGGCCTCAGGAGCCTGTAGGTCAGGAGAAAGGGCTAAGTGCTCCTGCTGAATTGGGTGTTGGCATGCAGGGAGGGGGAGGGGAGAAGGTGACAGGAAAGGAAATGAACTCAAGGGGCTGGGGGCCGGTTTGTCCCCTGCTCTGCACTTGAAGCTACTCCATCTTCATCCCCACATCCATACTGGGCCCACTGGCAGCTCTGTGACCTCAGGCCAATCACTTAATTTCTCTGGCTGCCCCTCTGCTCCCTCTGCACCCGCCCTGCCCCCTCCCACCACCCTCCCAGGCTTGAGGGCCTCAGGGAAAGAGAGGGGAGGAGCCTGCAGAGCCAGGTCCTGAGCTTCTCAGAACAGACACCAAAGAATGCCATTAGCAGCACCATGAGTTTCCAGCAGGGTCAGCTCAGGAAGTAATTTAAGCTGCAAGAATTAGATCAGAGAAGCAGAAAGCAAGAGCCAGGAAATCAGCAGCTCCTGCACTTCCAGTGTTTCAGAGCCCAGAGGACTCGGAGAGGGAGGGGCACGCTGGCTGAGATCACACAGCCAGGCTGGAGGAGAAAGAAGGTCTGGCTGCTGCTCTCCGGGAAATGCTGGGAGCCTGCTCCCAGGGAAGACAGAAGGGAGGTGGGCCTGAGAGGGGAAAGCTCGGCTAGGCCAGGCCAGGAGAACAGGGGCCATACTTGGGTACAGCCATCCCTCCAGCCTCACCCCTGACCACCATGTACTACTTATCCCAGGCTGGATTTGCCCCCAGGTCACCTCCCACAGCACCCACTGGGACAACACCCCCACGGGGGTCACAGCTGCCTGGCAGCTCCAGGCATACTCATTGAAGGCCACAGATAAACAGGAGGTAGGAAAGCTGGCTCCAAATTGCAAGCCTCTCCTTTCTGGGCCTGAGCTTCTGGCCACAGCATTTCCCATCTCCTAAGCATTTTTACACTATTTGGGCTGCACACAATGCCCTTGAGGGGTTCAGGACGAGCCAAGCTTCCCACCTGCCCTGTTAGCCTGCCCTCTTCCCTTTCCCTGCCAATCTCAGACCCTCCATCCTCCACCCTGGGCTGAAGTTCCAGGGCTGGGGGCTCCTCGCTCACTGTCCCCCAGAGCTGTTTACTCAGAGCCTTTGCACATACTGTTCCTTCCAACAATCCTCTCTCTGCCTCTGTGGGTCCTAGAGCCCTAGAGCAGCGCTGATGATGCTGGACCCCATCTGCACAGACTTGTCTGCCTCCCCAACCCGCCATGACCCTCAGGGCAGGGCCCTCTCCAGGGCTCAACATCAAGGGGCAAGGATTTCACTAATTGTCGTAAATGAACCAACAAAAGTGAGCATGGAAGGGACTCTTTCAGGATGGGAAAACCAAGCCTAAGAATGGCAGGGAGTCCAGGGGGAATCAGCTCTCCGTGTCACAGCCACCAGCATGCAGGGCCAGTCCCCTTCCCCCTTCTCACAGCAGGGTACCAGCAGTGCCCACACCACCAGGCTGAGGGGCACTGCAGCCCTGGCACTCTCTGCTGCAGCACAGCCCTTCTCCAGCTCCCAACCAAAACTCAGCTTTAGTCTCTCACTGCCCATCAAGGCTGTGAGACCCCCCACAGGCCACATCACCTCCCTGGCCTGAACGGCCCTCATCAAGGAGGAAACAACAGGTCAGGGTATCATGTGAGACCAAATAGTGTAAAACTTCTCTGGGCCTCTGTGAAGATCACATGAGACACCACCACAAGGGCAGCATCAGGCATTTTTTGATGTGTTATGCCCTGAGGACCGTCCATTCCAGGCAATCAACACCTGGGGTTCACAAAAGGTGTGTCCATTCACCTGCCAGACACAGGGGGTTATAAGGAACTCTATGGTCTAGTGTGACCAACAGACAGGCAGAATGGAAGGAACACGTGTCGTGTCAGAGGCTCCAGCAAGAGGAGTGCAGGGAAGCTTCGCAATGGCCTGGCCCTGCAGTGGGGGAGAGAGGCCATTCAGGCAAAGGCTCAGAGGCAGGAAAGTGACTGGTGATTCAGACTCAGCACAGTGAAGCCCCTGGGAGCTGGGCAGAGGCTCTGTGTGGGTGAGAGTGGGGGAATGGGGTGCCCACAGGCAGCCCTAAGAGTCCAGTCCTTGGTGAGAGGCTCTGTGTAGGTGAGAGTGAGGGCAATGGGGGGCCCACAGGCAGCTCTAGGAGCCCAGACCTCTGGGGGTCAGTGAGATCTGAGTTTGAGTCCCAGATGTACCAGTTCACCAAAGTGTGTCCTTGGGCAATCAGGAACCCCTCTGAGCTGCTGTCAATCAATCAGCAGGTCTCCCCTAATCCCTATAAGGTGGCAGAAGACAGAAAGAAAGTGTCATCTGCTCCTGGTGCACTCTCCAGGAGGCTGTGGGCTTGTGCATTCTCTGGACCTGCCAGAGGTGGTGGGAGCAGACTGGCTGTGCACAGGGTGGAGTAAGGGCTATCTTCCAGTCCTTACTGCTGACCATGCTGCACCAGCTGACACCCAGCTGGAGATGACAGCCACCAAAGCCATTTTGTAGTCAGGAACATCAAGGAAATTGCATGAAGTCTTTGACCTGTTACATGGCCTCTAGACTCTACATCCCACCAGGACTTCTGGAGGCAGGGCCCGAGTTAACAACTGGTCATTCTAGGGGCATCCTGATGTGGCAATACAGAAGTCAGTCAGAGCGTTAGTCTCTCACGTTCTCTCTCCAGGAAATGGCCCAGAATGTCTTTAACCCTCACAGGCCTTACCCGTCTCCTACCTAACGGAGCAGAAGCAGGCCTCAGGCCGAGAGCCTTCCATAGGCAATGGCATCTGGCTGGAATGGAATGAATCCGGTGTTGCTGCTTTTAGTTTATTTCTTTATTTTTATTTATTTATTTTTTAGAGGGAGAGTCTCACTTTATTGCCCTTGGTAGAATGCCATGGTGTCACAAAGCTCACAGCAACCTCCAACTCTTGGGCTTAGGCCAGGCATCCTCAAACTATGGCCTGCGGGTCACATGTGGCCCGCCTAGGACATTTATCCAACCCACCAGGTGTTTCTGCCGCCACTGCTTGTTCTACTTAGCAGCCAACTCGTCCAGGAGCCCGCAGTCCAGTCCTCCAATGGTCTGAAGGACAGTGAACTGGCCCCCTGTTTAAAAAGTTTGAAGATCCCTGGCTTAGGCTATTGTCTTGCTTCAGCCTCCCGAGTAGCTGGGACTACAGGCACCCGCCACAATGCCCGCCTATTTTTTGTTGCAGTTTGGCCAGGGCCAGGTTTGAACCCGCCACCCTCAGTATATGGGGCCAGTGCCCTACGGACTGAGCCACAGGCACCACCCACTTCTACTTTATTTTTAAGATTCTTCTAGATACTTTAAATTTACAGAGAGTAGTACTGACTCTCCATTTATAATAAACAATTCCTTTAAGAAATATTAGGAGGACCCAAAAGACTCTTATATTTGATAAATGAATTCAGTAAAGTCTCAGGAAATAAAATCAGCATACAAATACTAGTAGCATTTCTGTATACCAATAATGACCAAGCTAAGAACCAAATCAAGAATTCAATCCCTGGCTCAAGGCCCATAGCACAGTGG